AACTAGGAAAACCTAGCTAAGTTATACATTTGCCTTGCATATTCAACTTGATCTTGGTGATGACTCCAATGCTTGTCTCAAGTTGGAATCCCTTTCTTGTCCACAACCACTTTGTGAAGATGCTCGAATTGCTTCCTCATATTGCAATGAGGGAAGCCTTAACTTAAGCCCATCTTCACATGAGCATTATCATGATGTGGACCGCAAAGTTCAAAGCATATAACCTCCGGCTTCTCATGTTGCACTTGGACTCCTCAAACCCGATAACCATCACCACTTGATGTCATCCACACATAGGCTACTTGAGATCTTTCATTTTGATGCAAGCCCATGAGAAATACCTAACCCACATAGACATAACAAACACATAGCATTGGTTAGGTAACAAAGCACAATTCACAATTACTTGCCATACCACTAGATCACATGATCCCATGTGGTACAATGTTTGCTCTTTGGGAATTGACCATCTAGATATAATCTTCGAGCTTCATCTTGATCAACCAATATCTTTACTCCAAGCCTCATCTTGGTTTCTTGAAAGCCACAATGAACTCTTCATTTCCCTTCATTGCTTCAAGACAATATCACGAGAGACTCTTTCATGACCATATAAAGTTCCACTATGAATATCATCTTGGTCACCACATGCCCTTCTAAAAACTCCATCACAATCTCTTGAGAGGCATAATGAATTCTCCACTCTAGTTGCTTGCTTTAAGACTTGATCAACCGAAAACCAACACATGAGCTCACCATGATCTTGTCTTGAAACCATAACTTGAATTCTTCTCTTTGATTATTCTCTCAAGCCCTTGATCCTTAAAAGCCCAACTATGTCAGTCTTTGAGATCCTCCAATGAACTCCACCATGAGCATAATTAGATTAGGCATAGAAATCAATCTTGATGGATTCAATAGAAGTACTCGAAGACCAACTTGAAACCTCACTGGATATGGGATCTCGAGAGCCAACACATAGGCCTCGTGATCACGGGGTATCCAGAGAGTTGACATTCGACCCCGTGCGCATGGTACAAGCCCGTGTGCATGGGGTATCCAGAGAAGGATACCATGAGGACTTCTTCAGATGCTTTGATGGCAGACTTCACAAAACAACCCAATGCACTTCAAGCATCACTATGGAACATATCTTCATATAAGATTCAATGCACTTGATGCTCCATAGGAATTGTCATTTAACTCCAAAGCATAGAGCAAATATATCTTCATATATATGGACTTCATCCTTGATTCCATCCAATATCCTTGAGGGCACTATCTTCATATATATGGACTTCATCCTTGATTCCATCCTATATCCTTCATGCACCATCTATGGACAAAACCTTCAAATATATATCGTTAAGAAACATTAGTCCACAGAGATTGTCATTTAATTACTAAAACCACACTTAGGGGCTACATGCCCTTTCATTCACCTTTGTTGTGAACAACATCATCTCTCAGGTGCCAAGCCCTCCAAAGAACTAGTATAAGTTTTGCCTCATGTCACCATGGAAAATACTCAAGCTTTGCAAAAGCCAATCCGGGGAGAAGGGCATGATTGATTTGTCCTCCGGCAGTTTCCTAATTTTACTCATTTCCTCAAGAAGAGCTCTCTGTTTTGTGCATACAACAGTAGCATGATGTGTGTTTTCAATCGCAACTCCACATAGGTTGCATGTACCATCCAATTCAAGAGTCCTCATGTGCTTGTTGTCCTTCGTAGGGAGAGAATCAGTGGCAGCCCTCCAGGTGAAGATACGGACTTTATGTGGTACTTTTGCTTTCCAGACTAGATTCCATAAGCTCTCCCTCCCACAAAGAAACTCCAAGATGATAAGCACTCCTAACCGTGAATGTACCGTTCTTCTCATAGTTCCAAGGTAGAATGTCTCCCATTGGCTTTGGGGGAAGCTTGATCTTGTATATTTCTTCCGAGTCAAAATTGTAGAACAACTTGTCAATGATCTGCTTGTTCCAGACATTAGAATGGGGAAGCAACAACTGGTTTACCCATCTAAGCCGACTTCTAGTTTTCATGGATTGTATGGAAAGGCCAGATTGTCGAGGTATCCAGTTGTCACGAAGGATTTGGATACTCTTTACATTTCCCACTCTCCATACCACTCATTTTTTTCAGGAGTTCAAGCCTGTACTCAATTCCACGCCACACAGGTGATCCATCAGAGGTGAAGACCGTGTCCAATAAATTTCCTTTTGGGTAGTATTTTGCTTTTAGAATTCTGGCATAAAGACTGTCAGGTCTTTGGACGAAGGGATTACTCTATAGATAAATTTTCCTTGGTGTCATTTTTAAAAAAAGATGGCCATCTCAGATTTCTTCAAGGTTTGTATGGAACGGGCAATTTATTCCATAGAAAATTTGAAGAAAACAAAACACGAGGTAATGAGACATCCTTTTTCTTGGGTCTACAAATCATGTATCATCCTTGCGTGACATCCAAACGATATTTTTGTACCACATTTTCTGTTCCTGTGTTTTTGTTTCTTTTCCCGCGTTTTTGGTTCTGATGAGTGGCACGACATAGTCAGTCTCTAAACGGGTCAAGAAGTAGTCTCACGACTCACGTGGACTTATTCCCCTCGTCTGGATCGATGCCGTGAACCTACCAAACAACGCGTATGACGCGAGAATTGCCGTCCAAATGCCACATGGAACCCCCGAGACAAATCATGTGGTTCTCGCCCGCTCCGTTAGATATAACTACCGAAAAGCGACAACGCACAATGGCACATTCTGCAAAACTCATGATATCACATGGCCACATGGGCGCACCACTATCGTACTATATGATTCGATCTATACACGTAAAATTCACGTATCTACACTATCTTGCACACCCAGTGGCTAATGTTTATACAACACAAATCCTAGAGCAAAGTGAATATATGCCCGTTAAAAAAAGGTTAAGAAAAAATGGTCGTGAATGGATCGACCCAAGAACTAGCACGACAAGGCTAGTGCGAGCGCAGCCGCCATGGCCACGCCAGCCAGGCCGCTCCACGGCCTGGAGAGCGCGCGCGGGGCGGCGCTGTGTGTCTCCTCGCTGCTGGTGGCCGGCGGCGTGACGCCCTTGAAGTTGGGGTTGCCGCCGTACAGGCTCTGGATGCCGTCGACGTCGTCCTTGGCCAGCTCCACCTTCTGCGTGCGCGACGTGATGGTCGGGTACATGATGGCGCCCTCCACCGACGAGTGGCCGAGCCCCAGCAGGTGGCCGATCTCGTGCACCGCCACCGACTCCAGGTCGACGGCTGCGTCCAGCGACGCGCGCGACACGTCGCCGCCGGCCACCCACGCCTCCGACGCGTCCAGGTGGAACCGCCCGTCGGTCGGCGAGAAGGCGTGCGCCAGCGTGCCGAGCGGCCCGTCGAACGCCTCGCCGTCGCCGTGGTCGCCCGAGTGGAACCCGATGGTGATGTCGGCGTCGGACGCCGACGCCGTCTCCGTGAAGTTGAGCGTGGTGGCCGCCGACCAGCGCGCGAAGGCGCTCGCGAAGACCTTGCTCAGCGTGGCCCGGTCGATGGTCGTCTCGGTGGCCGCCGTGATGGCGTACCTGAGGCTCTTCTTGGAGCGCGGCCACGAGGGGGACCCCGGGAAGTAGGAGTAGAGGTTCCGGCCGTGGACCGTCTTGCCCATGGCGGAGGTGCCGTTGATGATGTCGGCGACGCCGCACCGCGGGGACATCATCTTGGTGACCGTGGCCGCGTCCAGCTGGCCGGTGACCTCCAGGCCGAAGTTCTGCTGGTAGGTCCGGATGGCGGACTCCATGTCGGCGTCGAACATGTCGTTGAACTTGGCCGGCGGCGCGGGGAGGTAGCCGAAGCGGCTGAGGTAGTCCTTGAGCCTCGCGAGCCCCTGCCGCTCGTCCCCGAACTGGCAGCCGGACAGGTTCTGGAACGCCGACCATGGGTTGGACAGCAGCGGCTTGATGTCCGGGAGACCCTCCGGCAAGCTCCGGGCGGACGCGGGCGACAGCGCGGCCAGCACCGTGGCCGCGGCGGCGAGCAGAGCGAGGAGAGGGGAGACACTTCTGATGCTCGCCATTGTAGCTGTCGGCAAGATGGGTGGATGAATGAGGCTAGGAAACAAAACCGACTCGGGTTATAAAGCTTGACGAGTCCAATGGAGGACTACTCGGTCAACCGGCGAGGCAAGGGAAAGCAGCCGCCCGGAGCCGGCCAACACGCTTGGATTTGGATCCTTCCTTGCAGTAGTCGCAGTCGTACACAAATTGATGCATAGATAATATAACTTGCCGTTATGAATGTGCAGTTGGAATGAGTCCCGTGATTGTTGCATGTATGTTGTAATGGTCGTCAGTAGTCTGGGCTCTGCGTCTGCTCTGTGGGAAGGTAGGAGGGGAGAAGTTTCCCTCTACTCGGTCGGAATAGTCTAATGCTGGCCTTGGCAAGCTGGTGGAAGGATGTTTTCAGAAAGTGATGATGTGGCCATGTGTACGTGTTGAAAAGCGAGGATATAATAATGTCCATTTGCTTGTCAGATAAGAAATATAGTTTCTCTCAACCGTGTTTAACCACGTAGCAAGAAACCAACGGGAAGAGTCATTCAAGCATGACAAGGACAACTTATTTCTAAGTCGAGTTGTAGCAGTTGAAGACTTTAGCTCAATCTTGCAGTATTATACATTTGCCCAGGCGACATCCTGTGTCTGTTCAGAGACAACCTCTGCTTCTCTGTTCTACATAAGAAATGCCGACGAGAATACCATAAACAGGGCAGCAGCATGTACGTAGTATTCTCTAGTGGAACATCTGCGACTTTTTGTTACAAAATACATGGAGTGAAGCACCAGTTTCCTTGCAGACAACAAATACCTGCTGTCAGGGTGGTAGATTAATCCTTCCGTGCTTCAAGAACAATCGTCGTCTTCCAGTGGATATCCATTTGGAGGGAGAGCATTCGCAGATCAGCTTTTGATCATTGTGTGTCTACCATAAAGTCAGCATGCTCCTCATAATGGTGTCTTAGAAGGAGTACCTGGATGACATGAAATGCATGCTTGAGCTCTGAGGAATAATGAACTTATCAAATGATGTGCCTTTCCCAAAGGCAGCTTAGGATTACCTGGTTGCCGAGGGTACTTTTTTGGAGTAGTGCGTTCCTTGAGGTACACAACTGCCGTTCGTTGACCATGAGGTCCCATCGATTCGACTGCAAACGAAGAGAGCCTTAAGATATTGGGAGTTTTATCCTTCTATGCTTATCCCGTTCTCAGGAATTAGTAAAGGGATCAGCTCGAAATAGTGTTACTGTTTGATCAACATGGATATAGCACGTGCTACCTCCGTCCGGGTTTATTGGTCCCCATTGTATTCCGTGCCAAATTTTGACCATAGATTAAACTAACAAAATGTTCACGCATGTCACCAAACATTATATTTTTGAAAACTATGTTCACTAGTTAACCGCTACCGGTCAAGTGCGATCGAGCAACAAGGGGAAAACCGGTCAAATGCGATCAAGCGATCGTCTTCTACCTGGGCCGGCCCATGAGGGTGTGCATGTGGGCACAAGCACCGCCGATTAGGAGCTTGCCTAACATCTGGCTTCAAATAGGAGTTTTCTCTATTTTGATAGATTCGTTTATTCAAAACATTTTATCTCTTAAACAATGTGCCCAAATCGTGAACCATTTTCACTGTTGCATTTCTCGTGTAGATATCTTCAAAACGAAATCCCATATTAATATGTTCTGGCTAAGTTTTTCATGAAAAAAAAGACGAGTCTGAAGAACGACCCCCTCCCCCACCGGCTTTTTTCCTTTCCGAGGGGCACAATTCTACCTCTCGTGGAAGATTTTTTTTCCTTTTCATGAAGCAAAGGTGTGCCTTTTGCGGTAGCAAATCCGTGCCTTCATGAGAAACAAATTTGTGCCTCTCACGGAAGAAAAAATACGTGTTGTTTCCTTTTCCGAGAGGCACAATTGTGCCTCCGCGAGAAGAAAACCTATGCCTCCCGCAAAAGAAAAAAACATGTTTTTCCCTCTCTTTTTGAGAGGATCTCTCATAGAAGCAAACTTGTGCCTCCCCGAGAAGCAAATATGTGCCTCTCATGAAAGAAGAAACCACATTTTTTTATTTTTT